AGGCAACAGACTCAACTCTAACATGAATGCTGGTTTGTAATATGATCTTCTTCTTTGTTTATTTTAGGTTTCTATTATTGTAACAATGTTATTTATCAGTATTTTACAATTTTTAAATCTTTGCACTTGCTTTTAAAGAGCTAGTGAGCCACCTTCTATTGAGTCCTTATATGAGAAGCATAATGCTAAACACATTATGTATATAATCTCAGTTAACTTTCATCATGAAACTGGATAATGGAAAGAAATAATTCCAATTTCATAAATAAGGAAACAGAATTTTCCCTGTCTTCCTACTAAGTGGCAGAATCAGCATTTGAACCTAGATCAGTCTGATTCCAGACCTTCCGCCTTTCCCATTAATGGTCTGCCTCTACCTCAATGCATTTTTAAAAATTTTAATTCCAATATATTTAACAAAGAGTGTTATATTAGTTTCAGGTGTACAATATAGTGATTAACAATTCTATATACTACTCAGTGCCTATCACAGTACGTGTACCTCAATGCATTTTTAAAAGAAAAATGGTACCTATACTGGAAACCATGGACAGAATGCCCTCATGAGTTTTGTTGTTCTGCTGAACATTTGACATTCTCATTCTCCTATGCATCAACAAAGCACTTGCTATCAAAACCTGTCCTTCCTCCCCACCTCCCACTCACTCTTCAACTCCCCACCAACTAGCTTCCAGTCTCACCTCTCCCCTGCACCTCCTGTTCATAAAGTTGTATAGGAACTTCTCAGCAATCCATTGTACATGTCTTCAGTCCTTATTTTATTAGGATTCTCTGCACCACCAACTTAGCTGTCACTTGCACACATGGAAAATCCTGTATCTTACGTGCCTGCCACAGTACATTGGGTTTTCCTCTTCCACCATTAGCCCTTCCTCTTTAGTCTCCTTTGCTGGTCCCCTCTTCCACCTGTTTGCCAATGCTACAGGACTTTAGATCTCTATGCTAGCATTTCTTCTTTTCTTCCTGTCTGCTTTTTCCCTAACATGATCTCATCTGCCGCCCTGGTTTTAGAGACTTACTAGCTGTGACACAACACTCCTAGAAGGGGTGTGGAGAGGAGGAGCAGGAGAAACCACCCGGGACGAGGGCTGGGGGTATCTGCCTTTCACTGCATGCCCTCTACTGCCTTGGGAGCTCGTCGACCAGCTATAGGCTGAAAACTGCCAAATGTTTATCTCCAACCTAAAGTCCTTCTCTGAATGTGAGATCTTTATATTCAACTTTCTCATCTGACACCTCTCCTTAGATGTCTCAGGAATCTCGAACTAAATAGGCCCCAAACTGAATTCTTCAGCTTCCCTCCAAACCTATTCTTATCCCAGTTTTTCTCACCTCAGTAATTAGCTCATCATTCCACCAAGCAATCAAACCAAGCATCATTCTTATTATTTCCTTGTACTTCCCTCTCCCCACATCCAATCCATTCTCAAGTCTTCACACACATCTAGAAGGTGATCCTTTTCTCCACATCCCAGTGGTGCCACACGAGACTCAGGAGCCGAGGCTGACTTGGGACTCCTACAGTCTGCCTCTTCCTGGTCTCTCCACTTCCACTGGGACCTGGTCCATGTGCCTCCTCCTCTTCCCAAACCATTTTCCATCTGACAACTAAAGTAATTTCCAAACAGGTAAAGTTTATTTTGGGTCAGTGGACAGCCATGGCAAACACTATAGACCATGTGTGCAGCCTATGGCTGGCCTGCCTCTCTGGGCTCTCCCACTGGCCCACACATCTTGGCCACATCAGCTTCTCCCTCCTGTCTAGGAGCTTTCAATGAGAGAGAGATAGAGAGAGACAGAGCACCAGTGGGGGGAAGGGCAGAAGGAGAGGGAGGAGCAGACTCCCCGCTGAGCAGGGAGCCCTACCTGGGGCTTGATCCCGGGACTCCGGGATCATGACCTGAGCCAAAGGCAGATGCCCAACCGAATGGGCCACCCAGCACCCCTACGAGCTTTCAAAGGTATTCTCTCTTCCACTGCAATTCTCTTTCATTTGCTTTTTACCTAACATCCACTTATCTTTCAGGTGCCAGCTTAAATAGTACTGCCTTACAATACCCATTCTTGAATCCTCTAAACTAAATCCTGCCCTTTCTCCATTGGTCTCTTTCCTAGTGTCCTACTTTTCTTACCAGAGCACATATCACAACTTATAATCATAAATGTATTTGTTTTTAATTGTTTTGTGTGGGACTTCCCCACTGGACTGTGCTCCAGGAGCATAAGGACAATGTCTGATTTTGTTAATCACTGAGGACCCAGAACCTAGCCTAACACAATGGTGGATTTTTTTTAAATTTTTCCTTGGTGAAAAGGAAGAAGAAATACAAGAGAAGAGACTAAAGGAAGAGTCAAAAGATGAAAAGAGAAAATAAAATATCAAGGTTTGGAGAAAGAAAAATGTGCTCTTTTCCTGAGTTCAGCTCAATGAATTTCCATACAACTATAATGCATGATAACTATTAAACTGGGAGGTTCTGAAATTCCAGCTTTTTGTCCAAACATAAGACCACTGAGCAAGCTGTTTGAATTAAATGCCCTCACAAAAGACTAACTCTCCCATTATCAATACTTCTGCAATGACAGGCAAGAAAGAATGTACATCTCTAAAGGATAAAATTAAATTATTTGTCTACAAGTTAAATATCTGAAGGAGAAAGGAGCAGATGTTTCAGAAAGGGAGAAAGAAAGTCAATATTTAATGGCAACCAGCAGGGATGGGGAGTGAGGAAACATGATCCAGGGATTGCTCTGCCATGAGGTAGGGAGTTACCAGGGAATTCACTTTTCTTTGCCTCAGTTTCCTCTGTTACAAATTATCTCCAAGACCAGGGCTCCCTTTCTGCTTAAAAAAAAAAAAAAAAAAAAGCCTGTTGCTTTATTAGTCACGCATTTATTTAACATTCATTCAATATTCAGTGAATCTAGATAAAGGTGGGTTTGGGCTCTGAACAGTCTGCCTAGATTAGTGCTTAGGGAGTGCTTTTGAAGTTGCTTTTTTGTTACTTTTGATTTTAGTGATTTATAAAACTTAAGTTTGTATTGGTTATTCTGACCTATAACACCTTGAGAAACTTTGTAGAAGTGTTTTCTTTAGGGCCCACCTGGGTGGCTCAGTCGGTTAAGTGTCTGCCTTTGGCTCGGGTCATGATCCTGTCCCGGGATCGAGCCCCACATCGGGCTCCCTGCTCAGAGGGGAGTCTGCTTCTCCCTCTGCCATTCCCTCTGCTCATGCTCTCTCTCTCTCTCAAATAAATAAATAAAATCTTAAAAAAAAAAGAAGTGTTTAATAGCTTGAGTTAAAAGAAGTCATCCAGAAGAACAAGGGACAGGAGACTCTTACGTTATATTTCTGAAATCTAAAGTGTGTGTGTGTATAATCTAAAGTGTATATATATGTGTGTGTATGTGTGTATACATATGTATTTTAAAGGTTTATTTGTTTTAGAGAGAACATGAGCACGTGCAAGTGGGGGGGAGGGGCAGAGGGAGAGAATCTTCAAGCAGACTCCCCAATGAGTGTGGAGCTGGACGCAGGGCTCTATCCCACAACCCATGAGATCACAACCCGAGCAGAAACCAAAAGTTGGATGCTCAACCAACTGAGCTACCCAGACACCCCTGAAATCTAAAGTGTATTTAGATAATGTTTCACAGCTCAGAAGAAATGACCCTTTTGACTGAACCTATGTGACCCTGTTCAGGAATGGCTGGCTCCAAATGAATTTCCTTTTATTTCAAAGTCGGCAACAATCTGGCTGTCTGCCATCAGAAAATGAGGTCTTACTGATCTTAGAAAAGTGAGACTGCTAAAGCACTAGGAACAGATTGAGATAGACACCTATGGTTGAGGCACTAAATACACTTAGATATAAGACTCACCACAGTGCTCCATGAGGAGTCATCTGGCCTCGTTTGAGCAGAAAAGAGAGAATTATTGTGGCAAAATATTTACCATATGACAGAGTCATTTCTTTTTTTGCAAGCCTTAATTTCTTAGGATATGGTAATTTCTGGCACTTTATGGAAAACACATAGTGATCAACATTGTCTTTCAGTTCACTGATAGAAGGATCTCTGGAGCATAGCCAGTTATGGCAAGAGAGCAGACCTGGAGCTGCCCTCAGTGTAAGGGGTCCCTATGCCATCTTCCGTGCCTGCTGCAGTCATGCCTCTGGATGAGAATGACTCCCATGTGCTGCACAGGAGTTCACCCAAAGTCATAGGTAGAAGCTGTAAGTAGAAAAGAAAGGAATCTTCCAAACTATAAACCTAAGTCTTTTAATAATGTTTTCTTTTATATACATGCTACATGTATATAAATAAAAGCTACATTAGCAAACATGTTTCTAAATGATCCTCCAAAGCAAATATTTTAACGCTTTTGATTATATATATATATATATGCAAAGAATTAATACAGGATTAAGTATAATTTTACTTCTATATTAATTTTGTTTGTAAACTGGAACTTGATCATTATTATAGCATTATGAGTCTAGAGAATATTAATAATCAGTTTTACAATAATACCTTTGTGTACCCAAAAGACATCTCAGAAGCCTTGTCCTCAAACCCAAGCTCAAATGCTATGATTTTCTGTTCAAAGGTTCATTTTCTTTTTTTTTTATCTTTTTCATCTCAGTATATTTTTATTACAATTTCATTACAGGTTGATGTTTATAGATTGGTTTATACCAAATGCATTTCAGGTAAGCTGTTCCCCAACAACATATGGGAAAGCAGAATCATTACATGGAAGGGCTGCCTACAAATCCAACTTTTGCCTGTAGACTGAAATGCCACTGATAGAATTTTGACATTAACGACCTTTAATTCTAAAGAGCCTGAGTCTCACTGGGGCACCTGGGTGGCTTATTCGGTTAAGTGTCTGACTCTTCATCTCAGCTCAGGTCTTGCTCTCAGGGTCGTGAGTTCAAGCCTCGTGCTGAGCTCCATGCTGGGTGTGGAGCCTACTTAAAAAAAAAAAAAAAAAGCCTGGGTACCCTTGACCTTATCTTCTTGACCTTTTCCTTCCATTATCACATGTGTATCTGTCTTCCTGAGGTCTGCAGCACTGTCACTAAACACAAAAACTAACCATGAATATTTTTTAGTTCCATTATATGCCTAGCACAGAGGCTTATGTGGTAGGGGGTTAAATATGTGCTGAAAGAAAGTGAATTTTAAAATATATATGCTTTACTTACTAAAATGTTTCGTTTTTATAGGAAGCTAGAAAAGAAAATGAAAAAGCCAAAGCAATTTTATATATAAAGAAATTACATATAAGGAAACTATGTGAGTGGCCTCTACACCCTATTGTTAGCCAGTTCAAAAAATCCCACGTGCTTCAGGTTATAACGTATCGGGTAAGGCCCCCCCCCCCCGACCTCTGAGAGCCTCCGGCAGTGTCGTAAGATATTCAGGATCACGTGAAACCGCTTGTCAGCTTTCAAAGCTGTGAACTCCTTTATGTCAGCTTCCACTATGAAATAATGACCTTTGGTATCCTTTGTTTCTTCGTCAATAAATCTGTGATAGAGATTTCTGGCCACGGAACTCATTGACTTTTTTGGTTGATGTAGGATCTTATATTTACTAACCACCGCCTTGTTGATTTCTTTAATAACATCATTAATTTGACAGTAGGTTAAGCGAGATTTCATGTACGCTGGAATGCCATTAAATTCATCACAAGTTATAAACGTCATTTCTTTAATACTTCTTTGTTCTTTTGGGGGCTTCTTTGTGGGTACAGTTTCCTCAACTTTGACTGGTTCTTCAGGGTCAAGATCTGACACATTAGCAAAGTTCTTGCTTACTGTTACTTGAGGCAAATGGGGAGGAATGTTTTCTTTGAGATGCTCCACATCTTTATAATCCTCTTCAAGAGATTCACAGAGTTCCTTGAGTGAATGGTTGGTTTGTTCTTGATATTGAATCTCCAATTCCAATTTATTTAGAAGTTCATTTACTACAATGATTTCATCTCCTATTTTATCTAATGTAGTCTTCAAGGTAGGTTCCTGACCACAATTTCTTAGTGACAGAGTTCTTTTAATGTTGGCAATCTTTTCATTAATATGAGAGCATAATTGTTCCAGATCTGAGGAGGCCATCTTTTAAGCCTCTGGCGCGGATCCGGGAGCAAAGCGCCACTCGCTGCAGTATCGCGAGCCGTTGAGACCCAGTCTCGGAAGCCCAGGATCGCGAGACGCGACTCCGGGAGCGAAATTCAAAGTGCCCGCCGGAAGCCGGCGCTGCGCAGGCGCACCTCGGCGCTCCCGGAAGGCTCAAAGGTTCATTTTCTTACACAATCCAACCAATTCTCCCCAAAGCGTACTTTCACTACTCCTGCTGTCCAGGATGACCTGACCCCCCCCAGTCAGGCTTAATCTTAATCAATCACAGCTTGGTCCTAACTCAATTTTACCCCCTTTCTTTCAGCTCCATACTCTCTACAACCCTGACATGTTTGGGATTCTATATCTCATGATGTTATTCTTTTTGTCCACCTGTGTAACTGTCAGCAAGTAAGAACCTCTCTGAGGCTCAGTTTCCTCATCTGTGAAATGGGACTAATATCTACCTTCAGCACTGTATAATCTCATGTGTGCTACAGGAAATACAGCACACACAATGCATATTTAATTACATCTGAATAACTGAATAACTGAAAATAACAAGTTATTTTCTTGTTTTTGAGGTTTATGCCTGGCCTTTTTTCAATCCACAACTTAGGAGTCTCATGTGATATGTTCCACCGTATGTTTAAGGTATAAATCCAAAACATTCATAATGCCAGCCATTGGCAGCAATTCACCAGAAGTTAGCTTCCAATTCTTCTTTTTGCTTAACAAGTAAAACAAGTACCACCAAAGGAGCTAGAGGGACAGGATTCAAGGTGTCCACTGCTTGTGATTACTCATAAGGAAGCAACCTCACTGTCAGTTTCGCCTTGCTTTCTCATCATTGTGACTCAGTCCCTGCTGTCCCCAATCTCCTCTGAGTGTGTGGTCTATGTGCTGAGCTGGAGAAGCTTTACCAAGATCATCATTGCTTAGGCTGTCCAGTATTTCCTTCTCCAAAGCCTAATGCTGGATACATTCCACAAAATACATAAAATAAAACCTATGTCTGATCTATAACTGGCTCAGATCTATTTAGGTTTACCACAGATTTAAGTTAAAGACTACAAGACTGGTCTACACCTATAAGTTAAAAACCCTAAAACTGATAGAATCATTTCAGACATACACATATTCCAAACAAAATAAAATTAAAATTTTTCCTATAAGTCCAAAAGAAATATTCTCTAACTCTACACCTAAAGAGACTTTTTGAAATTCATAGGACTTTCGAATAAAGTGCCACCCACCTGAAGAGGATTCATAATTAACACAGAAATGTTTCTTGTCGCTCCTTTTTTTTTTTTTTTTTAAAGACCTTATTCATCCATTTGACAGAGAGAGACACAGTGAGAGAGGGAACACAAGCATGGTGGGGTGGGAGAGGGAGAAGCAGGCTTCCCGCTGAGCAGGGAGCCCGACGCGGGGCTGGATCCCAGGACCCCAGGATCACGACCCAAGCTGAAGGCAGATGCCCAACGACTAAGCCACCCAGGTGCCCCTCTTGTCGCTCCTTCTGAATGGTATCAGAAGGCACTATAAGAATAGGATATTGTAATTACTGTTTCTTCAATATGTGTTTTCTTTTAAGAGTAGATATAAAAAAAAAGGTTGATGAACTGGCATCTATACTTTTAATTTTTTTTTAAAGGTTTTATTTATTTGACAGAGAGAGACACAGTGAGAGAGGGAACACAGGCGGGGGGGTGGGAGAGGGAGAAGCAGGGTTCCCACAGAGCAGGGAGCCTGATGCAGGGCTCGATCCCAGGACGCTGGGATCATGACCTGAGCTGAAGGCAGACGCTTAACGACTGAGACACCCAGGCGCCCCTATACTTTTAATTTCTATTATAAGTCCATCTCACTGCTTTGAGGGCAGTTTCAAATAGAAAGTAATATAACCTCAAAAGGTTATACCAAGGCTCTGACATAAATAAACTCTTCAGTCAATGACATGACTACAGCTATTTGAAAAAACACAGAAAGGGCATAAATACAAGTAAAAGAAGATATCATTCCCATAGTTAGTATGAGCAAAGTACTTTGAATTATGGGTTTGGCTCATGTAGCTGTGCTGTCCACCAAGGTAGCCACTAGCCACATGGGGCTACTTAAAGTTAATTAAAATTAAATAAAACCTGAAATTTAGTTCCTCAGTCCCATTAGCCATATTCTGAATGCTCAGTAACCAAACGTGGTCAGTGACTACCTCACTGGATAGTACAAACATACATTTACATCATTGCAGAAAGTTCTATTAGGTAGTGCTGAAATAGGTTAGAATAGCACTCTTTGAAAGCCGTAGATTTACTAACTGCCATTTATTTACTTAGGTTTTTAAGATACATAAACCTTGACAGATACTGCAGTGGTCATTTTAGTATGGTAACCCTATGTCCTGGCTTTTCTAGAATACCAGTATTTTCTGTCTATATTACTTCCAATAACATGAACCATTAAAGGTAAAAGTAAATGTAACAAATTAAATTTTTAGTAGGACTTTTTATATTAAATAAACAGACTCCTTTGTCACATAACGTGTCCCAAATTTTGATGCAAGAAAAAAACATAAAAAATAAAAACTCACATATATGGTGAATGCAGCCAAGAGTCTCTACTTTCTCCAGGAAGAGTCTCTACTTTCTCTAAATGACCCTAGCACCCATGCCTGTGTCTTAATTACTCACCGAACTCTAGGTGGGTCTGATCCAGGTGGAGCAGCTGAACCACCTCCCTGCTGATATCTGCAGGGAAGATAGTAAACTCTCTGTACCACTACTCGGACCCCAACTCCTGACCATGTGGCAGCTCCCTGGCTTTCCACTGCATCCAGGAGAGAATCCCTCAGGAGAGCTTGGGCTGGGAAGCGCTGTTTGGCTTCCTCATGTCCGTGGGTGCAGTCTGTCCACATTGTAGTGAGACTACTACACATAACCTGGCCAAGACATGCAAAGGGAACAATTTCAGTTTAACTCATAAAAGCATGGTATGTACCAAATCATGACATTATGAGGCAATCTTCTGATGTAACTGCAGAACAACAAAGGAATGATGAAGATAAGACATTGCATGTGCCTCCGTGTCTGCCAGGTAACTAATGCTGTTGTGGAGGGCAAGGTGAGCAAGATAACATGGGAACAGCAGAGTGTTTCCAATCAGTAGAAGCACAGATCATTTTGGGTCTTTGAAAACATGTAAAGTCCTGCTATTACAATACTTCATGGTAATCTAGAAAATTTTTCTTTCATGAGATAAACAATCCCAACAGGACAAACTAAAAAACAAAAGAATGACTAGGGTTTCAAAATTAAGTCATTATTAAGTGCTTGTTGTGTGCAGTCTACTAGGCTAGACACTTTACAGGCTCATGTAGCCTCCCAATAACCCTTTACAATAATATTAAATATCATAATAAGGTAACACTTCTAGAGGACATTCCAGGTACTTTTCTTTATGTACTGTACTTATATAACCAACATATTTAACCTCATAACTACCCAAGTGGGTAGATTATATCATTATTACCATTTTAAAGATAAAAATATCAAAACACAGAAAAATTATGTATCTTGCCCAATGTTACTCAGCAGCAAGTGGTTGAGGCAGAATTTGAACCAGGATACCTGGTTCATAACCATGATGTTATACTGCAGCTTCATTGTCACTGTTGTTAAGACAAAAATGTTATCTCAAGAATTTAGTATCAATAGCTATTTACAACTAAATGTTAAAGCAGTAATGCACTTTGACTCATAAATTAGAGAGCCTCTTTTCCCCATTATCCCCTTCAGATACTTCTTTTGATAATCAAAGGGAGAGTATGCTTGTTGAAACATTTACAAACAAGATGCAAGTTTGTATACTTTTTTCTTTTTTTAATTTAAGATTTTATTTATTTATTTGTCAGAGAGAAAGAGAGAGAGCACAAGCAGGGGGAGCAGCAGGCAGAGGGAGAAGCAGGATCCCTGCTGAGCAAGGAGCCTAATGGACCTGAGCTGAAGGCAGACACTTAACCGACTGAGCCACCCAGGCACCCCTACTTTTCTTTTTCTTATATCCCCTCATACGATCTGTCAGCCTTAGCATTCTGTTCAGTGCTGATTCAGCTAACTGGGTGAACCTGAGATGGTGCACATGGACTCATAGACACTTAGAGCCTGGAATGATCCTTGGAGTGCCCTTCAGGTCTTCTATGAGTGAAATTTAATGGTTCCCTAAATATATCTTGGCAAATGATCATGACTCAGGGCCAATAAAATTTCAAAAAACAATCTACAGCATATAATTTCAAGTTTATGCAGTTCTTTTTATCCCAAGGGATATAGATACTGTGAAAAAGAAAAATATGACTTTTTTGATAAGTAAAAGGCTTAAGCAAAATTCTTAGACAATTACAAAATGAGAATAAAAAATAAAAAATCATATATTTTGATAGATTAGAATAAAGATTAAAAAACACAATTATATAGATGAAATACTGTGAAAAGACTACTACCAAATACTGAGCCACTTCATACTTTCTTCAGGCATAACAATAATAACAAGATGTTCTAGCATATGTATTTACTGAATATTTGAAGAGGAACCAAAGGTAAACATCTTTGCTTATACCTTTCAAGTCCAATATTATTACAAAGCATAAAACATCTAAAACAAATGAAAATTTACCTGGCTTTCAGGTGATTTATATGTTAGATTCCTAAATCTAAACATCTGAGCCAAAGTGATACTTCTTCTTGGAAGGAGTGTGTCCCAACAGTGTGCTTCATGTATTATTTTTGAATCTTCTTTGGCAACAACTTTCTCACAAAAATAAGTATTCAGAATAACAGGGCAACTTCCATTTGGTATAATAAGCTTTTGCCTGAAAAAGAGAAAGAAATATAATAGTTTACAGTTACAGTTTATTTACAATGTTGGGTTTCCCTCATGTTCTTGCTAAATCAGGAATACAAAGGGCAATGACTCACCTCTATGGACAGATAAAACCAAGTTAGGCCACTAAGTGACAGCTACAGATGAATGAATGGAGAAAACGTGGTACATATATACACTGGAATATTACTCAGCCATAAAAAGAATGAGATCTTGTCATTTGTAACATGAATAGATTTAGACAGTGTTATATTAAGTAAAATAAGTCTGACAAAGATAGGCAAATACCATATGATCTCACTTAAATATGGAATCTAAAAACAACAGAAACAAACAAACAAAAACAAAACAGTCTCATAAATACAGAAAACAAACTGGTAGTTGCCAGAGGGGCTGGGCTTGGGGTGGGGAGATGGGCAAAATGGGTGAAGGGGATTCAGAGGTACATACCTGCAGTTATAAAATGAATAAGTCATGGGGATAAGAAGCACCACATGGGGGACATGGTCAATAATATTGTAAAACTTTGTATGATGACAGATGGTAACCTATCATAGTAAGCATTGTGTAATGCACAGAACTACCAAAGCACTATGTTACATACCTGAAACTAATGGGATACCGTATGTTAACTATACTTTAATAAAACAAACAGACAAACAAACAGAAGTGACACCCACCCTCACATGCTCAAGAGGGAATGTGAATGGAATTAATTTTACTTTTCCAGTGCAAGTCTGTGTCAGGAGAGGGGGAATGGAAGAAGGCCATGTCACTGCCTGGGCTTGAGCTCCCTCAGGTCTCCTACTCTGGTAGAAGATGACCTTGGAGAAATGCAGGGAGTGAGCAAAGACTATCAACAGGATCAAGAATTGCCCAGACATTAAAATGTTATTTACAAATGAAATCTTCAGACACTTTGACAGCTCTAATCTTTCAAAGAACATGACATCAAGACCCAAAGGAGCTTCTACCTTCACTATCAAATAGAACACAGTCACAGAAATGCTTCACATTTAAGTTGTAAAGTAATGTGGGGACATAACAGACAAAACTCTCCTGGTCCCTTTCAGACATCTGATTTGACATCTTCAACACTCATTCCTTAAAGAAGGTAGTGCTGCTTAACATTAAGGAAAATTTAGGACTTCTACTTCTGGGAAGATGGGAGTAGACATACTTTTCCCTAATTTATCCTCTGAAGCACAACTAAAATGCCTAACATTACATATCAACTAAACATTAGACACTGAGGTGGAAAAAAGAAGGCATACCAGCCAAGCCCTGGAGACCTTGAGACCTAAGGAACAACACAGTGGTGAGTTCCTGGGTTTTCTGTTTTCTTATATGCCAGACTTCAAACTGAAGAAGATGGCAACCTGATACAGCAATGGGTACAGATAAAAAAAAGTCTCCTACAAAAGCTTACTCTCTCCAACTAAAGGCTAATAAAGGGATAGCCTAGTATAATACAAAACTTTCAGAAAATGACTGCTCTAATCTAGGCAAACATCACAGAAAAACCTGTGATTCACTATCATATACACCAGAAAAGGGTGAGTGGGGAGCTCAGACTTGCACTCTTATCAGGCTGTAATAAAAAATCTCGATAGCCCAGGTGGGGTGGTGTGAGAGAAGGCAGGATAGAATGTTGGGACTTCCATCCCTGCAGGCTTATAATGAGCCTTCCCTGATCAACCCCCCACCCCCCAACACACACACACCATGACAATGGAGATCACCTGGTGGCCTGGACTTCAACTCGTCCCAACCCCCTCCCCACCGCCCGACATCAGTAACCAGTACTCCTGGCTACCCTCTATCCTCACACCTTCTTCCAGTCCTCTCAGTAGCAGCCATGTGGGAAGCAGCACCCCCGGCCCTCCCAGCAAGGGTGATATCAGTGGAGGCTTAACAGGAAGCTGGAACTCACATCTACCTAGCAGTTACAAGGAGTCCTTTCCCCCTCAGCATTAATGGAGGCCAAGTGGGGAATTTGGACTTCTTCCTCCACCTGGCAGTAACAACCTCCACCCCCCTGCCCCACTCCCTCCACTTCTCTTCTCAGAACAGTATCAGACAAAGCACCCTAAAACAGATTTAAATAAGATCCAGAGTCTCATAATACCTCAAATGTACAGGTTACCATCTAAAGTCACTTCTTATACTAAGAACCAGGAAAAATCTCAATTGAAAAAAGATAATTAATAGGTGAGAATGCCGAAATGACACAGGTATTAGAATTATTTGACAAAGATTCTAAAGTAGCCATTATAAGCATGCTTCAATAGGCAATTATGAACACACAGAGACAAATGAAAAGAAATAAAGTCTCAGCAAAGAAATAGATTTTTTTAGAATGGAAATTTTGAACCGAGAAATAAAATGAAAATAAAAACTCAATGGATGGGTTCAACAGCAGAATGGAGGAAACAGAAAAAAATCAGTGAACCTGAAGACAAAAACAGAAATTAAACAATATGAATGACAAAGAAAAAATAGACTTAAAACAATCTGAACAGAACCTCAAGATCTGTGGGAAAGACGAAATAAAAATAGATATATACAGGTAAATACAATAAGCTTTCCTACTCTTCTTGGGTTTTCAAAATTGTATTTAGAGTTGCAGCAACAATTATAACACTCTCTGATATAGTTCTAAATGAATATAAAAACAATATTTAAGAAAATCATAGTTGAGAACAGTAAAGGGATATAAGAGGTAAGGTTTATACACTTCATAAAAACTGGCAAAATGTTGATCCAGTAGACTGTGATAAAATGTAATCCTTAGAGCAATCAATAAAATAGCTATAAAAAGAGATATATACAAAAATATTATAAATAAATTAAAATAAAATTCTAAAAAATGTTCAAGTAACCCACATGAAGCCGGGAAAAAGAAAACAGAAATGAAAAACAGAAAGAGAATGTAGAGAAGACAAAAAATAAAAAGGTAGCCCCAAGTCCTAACACATCAATAATTATATTAAGTGTAAATGGTCTAAATAAACCAAGTAAAAAACAAAGATTAGCAGAGTGGATTAAAAAAACATGATCCATCTATATGTTGTCTATAAGAAATTCACTTCATATATAAAGATATAGGTGAAACAAAAGTAAAAAGATGGGGAAAATACATCACATAAACATTAATAAAAGTATAGCACGGGAAGAGTATCATATGAAGTAGGCTTTAGAGCAAAGAAAATTATCAGAGACCAGAGGGACATTACATAATGACTTTTACCAAATGTGCAAAGAAAATTAACACCAATTTCATACAATCTTTTTCAGAAAACAGAAGAGGAGGAAATACTGCCCAATTCACTTTATAGAGCTAGTATTACCCTAATATGAAAACCAGATAAAGACAGTGCCAAAAAAAAAAAAAAGGGAGAAGAAAGAAAAGAGAAACCACAGACCAACATACCTCAGGAATACAGATGAAAAATTCTTAATAAAATACTAGAAAATAGAATTCGGAAGTGAGTATAAGGAAGTATGCAACATGACAAAGGGGTTAATTCCAGAGATGCAAGTCTCGTTTGATATTTGAAAATCACCTCCACCACATTCAAGATGAAAGAAGTCATATAGCTCATCAGTAGATGCAGAAAAACCATTTTATAACATTCAACACTCATATAAAAAAAAAAAAACAAACAAACAGAAAACCAGAAATACAGAACACCCTCAAGTTGATAAAGAGCATCTACAAAAATCCTATGGGTAACATTATAATTAATAGTGAAGGAATGAATGCTTTCCATCTAAAAAGGGAAACAAGGCAAGGATGTCCATTCTCACCACTTTTTCTTTTCTTTTTTTGTTGTTAAAAAGAGGCCTATGTTCTTTCTTCACATACAGGACATTGAATACTTTTAACAGCATTTCCCACAAAGAATGAGAGGAAATGGAAAGAAAAGAGTGAGAATTATTTACATTTTCCAAATGGAAGCAAGGAGATTCCCAAGGGCATAAGTGGTCATCAGAATTCTGGGTTGCAAGCCCCATTTGGCCTTCGTTCTGCCACCAACACCACCAGGGGACACAGGAAGAGCCACAAGTGACAAGCCTGTTAACCTCAGTTCCAGCTGTGGGCCGTAAAGCAGCCCATGACCCAGATCTAGTGGGTTTACAAACCACTTATCTGATATCTGATATCACATATCTGATAAGGGATTAATATCCAAAATATAAAAGAAACTCATACAACTCAATAGCAAAAAAACAACCTGATTAGAAAATGGGCACAAGATCTGAGTCAACGTTCCTCCAAAGAAGACATACAAATGACCAACAGGTATATGAAAATGTGCTCAACATCATTAATCATCAGGGAAATGCCAAACTAAACCACAACAAGATTTCACCTCACACGTGTTAAGATGGCTAGTCTCAAAAAGACAAGATATCAAGTATTGTTGAAGGTATGGAGAAAAGGAAACCCCTGTACACTTTTGGTAGGAATGCAAATTCGTACAGTCATTATAGACAACAGTATGGAGGTTCATAAAAAAATTTACAATAGAACTACCATATGATCCAGCAATTCCACTTCTGGGTATATGTCCAGAATAAATGAAATCAGGATCTCAAAGAGATATCTGAACTTCCATGTTCATTTCAACATTATTCACAATAGCCAAAATATGGAAACAACCTTTGTCTGTTGACAGATGAATGGATAAAGAAAAAGTAGTGTATATATGCACATGTGCATGTGCACACACATGAATAATATTCAGCCATAAAAGAGGAAATCCTATCATTTGTGAAAACATGAATATGGAGAAACCTGGAGGACATTATGCTAAGTGAAATAAACCAGACACAGAAAATTAAATATTTCATAATCTTGCTTATATGTGGAATCTAAAAAAATTGAACTGCTAGAAGCAGAGAGTGGAATTGTGGTTAACAGGGGCTACGGGATGGGGAAAAAGAGAGCTACTGGTCAAAAGATACAAATTTTCAGTTATTAGA